ACCATTGTGCAATAATATAATGCTTTAATTGTGATTTTTCTGCTAAGTTCGTATATGATACAATCAGCATACATGATTCTTTTTTGCACCTGTACGAATTCATTATTCACTACTATATCATTATCATCACTTTATTGTTTATGCTTTTTACTAAAGCTTTCAAGGCCCAATTTCGTTCCATTATGGAATTTTTACGTCATTATGGCTTCCTATTTCTTACAATACAGTGTAAAAAACATCATCACACAGATATATATTTTTGGGTTAAAAATAAAAATTCTTTATCTATACAAATCTTCTGCGAATCCTAAAAGGAAGATGTAGACCTCACTACGGTAGTTGATTCCCTTCATTGAACTAATTAAGTGGTCATATTAATAGTCTTAGAATCCTGTTTTTATTCTCTATTATCTTTAGTTTTCTCCGAAGTCGCCCATATAAGTCTTGTGGATATTTAAAAATCTTAGAAAAATAAGATTATTCTAAAGCATTTTTATACTCAAGGTTATATACATTTGCTTGTCTGATAAAACACAATATCTGCTAATATTTCATGCTATCATTTGCTGTTAGAAAGTTTTGCTGAAGTTTTTCTTGTGCGTAAACTTGGATGACTTACTATTGCGTTTAGATGTGCGTGCATCTAATTAATCTGGCCATTTCTTCACTTCTTCAAGGTGAAGCTTTGCCAAGCGCCTCTTCCATTTAAGCGGTAAGTGATCGTAACACTCTTTGCACACTGGCTTAAGATCCACCTCGTAAAGTTTGGATCTAAAAGTATAAGATCAAAGTGAGTTATAGATGTCTAATATTAATTTTCTCCTTAGGGCTGGAAACTGCTTATCATCCTATTATTTTGCTACTTGTTTGCATAATATCCCTATGATTAAAAAAATCTAAGCAATATTTGCTAAATTTTTTCATTCCAATTATACTTTTAGCAAAATTTGAAATAATATTAAAAATAATGAAAGTATTAGATAGCTCCGAGTTTTGGCAGTAACACTTCTATATTTACATAATTGAAATGGACTACAACTTTAAGCTTTTCATAGATTGAAATCCGAATGGGTAAACTACCAATTCCATAGGGCCATCAATCGTACTCTATTATTTTACGTTATGGTGTATTTAAGGTGTATCCTTCTGACCCTTTAGGCGAAATGATTATTTTGCTAATCAGCATTTGAACCTTTATCTTTTTGGTAGCCTTTCGAAGTGATTGCTATGAAATTAGGATGAAATACAGGACACGAACATAGGTAGTTATTGATACTTCTGATCGTATTATTACTTTAGTTTGATAAATAGCTCGGATTATGCGTGAGCATTTTTTAAACTTACCTGGCTCAAGTGTGTTAGGCAACTCATATCTCCATCTAGATGTAGATATATTCGGTCTTATACGGTCGGTAAGTAAATATCATCATGGCAAATCATAAACTGCTTTCTTAACCAGCCTCCTTATTAAACCATTCGTTAAGTGTGCTCATACATTCAATAATTTAGCCCCATAAAATGCGCAGACATTTTTCAGCCATTATTTTTCCTTAAGTGTCGTCTTTCAATCATCCATTGCAGTGTTCTGTATTGCTAAAAAGGAGTCAACTTTATCTCATTGATCTTGATAATTATTTATATAAGATTGTACTCAATGATAACTAGGATTTGTATCAAATAAAAATGTGGCAAATTGGGATTATTCACGCAGGGTTATTTTAGTAGAGTCGTCAAAGAACCTAAAGTAAACTTTTTTTAATAACTATTTCTTATGTGTCATTCCACTGGCATACTATTTATTCTTACATCTTTCATTTATATTACTTCACAAAATTTGTTGTCCCTTGTCTTGTGATTGCATTTTTGTGGATACTTTTATTTAATATCAAAGTTTACTATGAATAGATTCGTTGGTTGATTTAACTGTAAGAAGATGACTGATTACCGTCGTTTTGCAGCCGTTTCGCTTTAATATGACGTTAAACTTGACGCAGTCTACGAGGCATTCACCCTCATTTCGGTTTAAAACCGGCTGAGCTTTCGTCCTTCAAAAGACGGATATCATAAGATCTGGTGCACTCACATATAAGTACCCTGATTAATTTAAAAGAAAACTGGCAAAATAATTTTTTTTCTACTTGTGTATATTTTTTTTCATTGATGTATGAGGATATATGGCATGAAGGATAGAACCAGATCTTCTATTAATGTTAACCATAAATTTTTGCAAGTATGAGTTCTAACTTTGATAATTTCAGTCATATACTAGATGACGGCTTGTCTCGGTTTCTTTAGAAAAAAAGGGATGTCTCATGGGCTGTGTCAGTCTGAACATCGTATTTACTCCAAATGGCTGCAGAATAATGGGAATCAGTCATTTTATTCCGATGAGATTAACAAATGAGTCTCTTTATTATGACCTTTTATACGAAATGAAAATCTTTAATTTTAATCATATTTTATTTTCAGTGTTCAACCCCCAATCAATGATTACTTTCTTTATAAAATCTTTTTTTTGATTATATTTAATTTTGAATAGGTTTTCGTGTCTACTAGCAAATCAGATTAATGAGTTATGTCAACTCCGAACCACCTCAGTCTGCAAGCAATGAGGTCTAAAGTACGAAAAAATGGATCCTGATTACTTTCTATGACTATAACTATGAAAAGAGGTATTGCTTAGGGTTACCTTGGGTGTGTGTGATCTCCCTTTTTAAGCTGTATTTCATTTTATCTCAACTAATAGACACCAAGACTGCGTTAATATTCATATTTGAAACTCTCTTAAGCCACTCCTATGAAATTGGAGTTGGACTTATTTTAAGCGGCAACAACTATTTATTAAAATGATCCAGCTTGACCGCTTTAAATCTTACTTTTCATCCAACAGCGTGTTGCACATGCTGCAGCGAAAATGCTCCTGGCAATAAGTTTTGTTGGTGAATCGGGCTAGAATGGCCCCCAGTACTGGGTGCTGACAGATATGGCAAATGCCTCCGGACTTCTCTTGGTAGTGAAGGAGACAATAGGCTTGACCGCGCCACTCGTAATATCTGCTGCCCATAAAGGCAATCTCACATTGGTGACAGACAAAATGCTCTACATGCCACGCTTTGCCCAGGGCACGAACGATGCGGCCTTCGATTGGGCGTCTATGGAAAAAAGTTGAAGGAGTGGGGT